CCAACACCCAACCTAACCTAACATTAAATATTTTCGAGATCTGGCAGCACATTGGATAAATGCATGCAAGAAAAAGGATAAAATAAAAATAAAAACGGTAAGTAAAGGCAATTTTTGGTATGCCCAATTTCCTGTTAGGTACTTATAGCAACTTTTCCCCCTAACCACATAGGTATACCTATATATATATATATATATATATATATATATATATATATATATATATATATATATATATATATATATATATATATATATATATATATATATATATATTTTTACAGCTTGCATAAGTTCTTAGTAATAATAAAAATTAAAACATAATTGTACCTATGGGAAATCCGCTTCAAAAGTGTCCCAAGTAAAAAAAGCAGTTTTGAGATTTAACGCACTAAAAAGTATGAAATAATTTAAAGATTTAAAACGAAAAACGTGGGGCGGATGCAAATTATATGAACTGTGCGAGTTTTCTCAACGACAGCTACTCTTCACCATAACTTAGCTAAAGTTAGATATATTAGGCTCTTTATACTACTAACTATTGCATGCACATGGGTTAAAACAGGTTTTTTAATTTTTTAAACTGTTACTTTTTTAGTTGTTTAATAGCAAAATCTAACAGTTAATTTATGTAAATATATTTATTGTTTTAAAAACATTAATCAGGTGGTCAGTGCCAGTTCTGCAACTAAGTAGCGGCTAAAAAAAGGCCAATATCTAACTTAAAATTAATTTAATTTTGACTCAATTTTTAGATTATAATGCTAAAAATGATAAAAACATACAAAAGCGACAACACTAATTTCTTTCGCGCGCGCTGAATTGTGCTCAGGCACTGACCAAGTCCGCCTGAGCTACTTATAAAACCTTACATTTTATATTAAATAAATAAATTTACATTTCGGAATTAAAAAAAATATAGTTTACATTTTTCAATATGGTACGAAATTAGCATTAAATGTGTATTAATTTAGAACACTACTTTAGTTGCGAGTTCGACGATAATGTGTGCTGTCTATAATGACTGTAATAAATTAGCAATTCGTTTTTTACTTCATTTTACTTGAGTCTGTTGGCTTAAATCTTAAGATGGTAACCTCGCTTGTAATTTAAAAACAAAAAAAAAGTTATAAATTTGTTTTTTGCTAAATAGGCACCAAATAGGCTTTTTAATGTGTGCTACAATATTTTAATTAAACTAGACGGCTGCTTTTTTAAAAAGTTTAACAGCATTTTTCAAATATAGCGCATTAAAAGGCGTAAAATATAGTTTTTTGGTACGTTTTATAAAATTGTTATAAAATTGTATCAGGTGGGATTGTTTTAATACCCTTAAAAATGAATTCCTTGGTGAAATTCCCTCTTAAAGCCAAAGGAATTTTAATCTAACAAATTTCTTTGTATAACTAAAACTCCCTTAATATTTCGCCAAAAATGCTTGTAGTTGGTATTTTATAGTCTAGTTCAGATTAACATTTTATATTATAATAAACGTGGAGATTTTTGATAATACTTATAGAAGATTGCACTCATTTTTTTTAAAACTGCTTGATAACATTTTAACGATATTTTAATTTACTGCAGTATTGAATTGAAAAATTGCAGGATTTAAAATTTAAACATTATATTAACGTTACATTATAATTTCAAACAAATTGCAATTTTTCTAAAACATTTGTATGTAATTTTTTTTTACATGAGCCAATTTACTACATTCCACTAGAAAAACTCGGAAATATAAATCACCCAACAGTGAGAATTGCTCTTCTGGAAAATTTCCGATAAAAACATCGAATCGACATTGCGACGTATATTTTATTTCGTATCGCATTCAATGGTAAAAAAATTTAGAGACTGAGTCAAACGTTAACCTACTATTTAAAACTACAAAGATTTAGATTTATAAAATAGGTAAAACATATATTTCCTTATTATACCTAAATTTAGTTGTACAAAAAGCATTTTTTTAAACATAAGACCTGATTTAAAGGCTAGAAGTATTTTTAAAGGAATTTGACAAATCAAGTTTTGATTTATCTGCAATGCTGATACGTGAAGGTAGTTCTAGACCGGGTTTAGTAAATATTATAATACGGAACAATCATTCTGTGTAATATGGAAAAATGAAATGGTAAATGTAAAACTAAATGCCCTAATAATTGACTTTTTTAGATCTACATGATTTTTTTAAAGCGTAGTCACGTTATAACACTCGACATAGCAAGACGTCTTGCATAGCGACCTCTTAATACAAACCTACAAATAATTACTAAATAAAACGTAATAAACGTAATAAAATCCACAAATAATTACTAAAGTGCAAAAATTTTTTTTATAAAATTTTGTAAAAATATTTAATAAAGTGAAACATCAACCCAGACATAATTACTAAATAAAACATAATAAACGTAATAAAACCCACAAATAATTACTAAAGTACAAATAAAAATTTTATAAAAATATTTAATATAGTGTAACATCTATAGTGAGTAGAGACTACCCTACGCTCAAGAAAGTGTGAAGTCGGGGCGGTCTTACCACCTGCCAATTGGATGCTTTTCAAGAGACTAACAAAAGAGGACAACCAAGGAAGGAAAGGTATATCTGCAAAATCGGATAAGTAACCTTAAACATCTGCAGGACCTAACACATAATTTGCAATATTGGACACGACAGTTACCTTAAAACATAAGTTATGCACTTTGCTAGAACTAAAAACATAAAGTAAACAAAGTAACAATTATTGTTATAGTAACATTAGTAAGACAATAGTAAGCAAATACCAAAAATAAAGACAAATAACAAGAAATCCTACGGTCATTTATACGAAAGTTGAGTAGGACAATAAATCTATCATCAACAACCGCGTAAGGCACAAAATAAAATTTAAACTAAACGAGACCAAATAATCAGACACTTAAAATTCAAACTCGATGGTATCGATATCTATCGGTAGTTACATAGCCGACTACTGAACTATCTATCGATAGTTTTCGACCTCAAGACTGAAGAATCGGTTTCGCACAGTGGGACAGACAAATGTTTGGAGTAATACTAACTGCCTGGTCTAGTGGGATACCGCGTCGTACTTAGATTTGAGCCGGCGTAATTGTCCCCCAAACACCAAAATGTCAATCCCTCCCGTCCTACCTCCTTCATGACCCTCCTGGGCGTATAGCATCGCCCCGGCGAACCCGGAAATGGCTATTAAAACTATTTCGCTCTCAAGCCCTAAATAGGGGTCAGTACGGGTCGGAATGGACATTCGCACCAAACAAACACGGGTGAAGCCGTGACGTTGCTGGTGGCAAAAGAAAATCGGCGTAAGGAAATGGAAAGGAAACTCCCTTTCGAACCTTTTATCGATTTTCCTACATACATAAATGTATAACTTTATAACTTCTAACGCGTACATTGGTACACGTAGGTGTTTTTATAAATTTTGATAGGGAAACATTAAAGTTCATATAAATATTTTTTAATAAAATATTTAAACTTACAGTACCACGCTCCAGGAGCAGTAATGACCATAAGTATTAATATGGGCACGTGAGGTTGATTTAAGTGTCACTTTGTCAATTTTGACGGCGTTTAAAGATAAAGGTACAAGATTTGAAAATTTCATTAAAATCGGACAAACATTTTTTTGTGTAACGCCACTTTGAATTTGGAAAATGCCGAATTTGGGCTAAAAAAAGATTGTTATTGTTAAAAACAGAAATATTAAAGGGAATAACTTTGTGAAGATGTATAATTTAATAATTTTAGTATAATTGGGACCCATAACTATATTACCAATGATACTCAGTTAAAGAATTTGAATAAAAGAATATCTTGAAAGCAAGAGGTAATTAAGCAAAATGATGGTCATTGGAATCAGCGCACCCAAATTACCCTTGAAAAGTTGTTTTTATTATGCAGGCGCACCTCTTTATACAACGTAGTAGGTCGCGCGGGTTGTCAAAGACACCCCTGATGGCAAAGCGTTCGAGTGTTATTTACATTTTTTTGTTTTTGAAGTAAAAATGAGCTGAGAGAGAATGAGAACATATTTCGTTGCGTTCAAATTTGATAAAAGATGACAAAAAAAAGAAAATGTCAAAAGACGACAATTTTAATAAAATAAAGCATTTAATTAAAAAACACAAATTTTAAAAGTCATAATAATAATAAAAACAAAAAAAAAACACTAAGCACATAAGAAAAGATTTACGTTTACAAGTAATTATGATTCAGTAAAAAAAGTCAATAGGGAGACGAAACCTAGCCTGCTCAGTACTGGAATTTACCATGCCTTGGACAAATTACACCTCTGCCCTTCTTTACCGGCAATAATTTGGCAATTATTGGGCGGAGATGTTTTGGCAAATTTGTATTTGTTGCTTATAAAATATTAGAACGAACGAAAACAAGCAACACATAACGCAATGCTATCAAGATAAAAATGAATATTTTGTCGTGCGTTCCAATTGCTTTTTTTACAGGGTATAACCTTATTCCATGTGAAGTAATAACAAAATTTGAAGAAATCCACTTAACAAATTTATGCAAAAAAATTGTACGTACAAACAAAATACCAGACAACCTATCACATTAACTTTAAAATGGGCAATGTAATATGACTGACAATACTTTGACAGGAAGGTACGAATCGAAGTGAGACCGGTAGCTATATTTAGGATGCTTGGGTGTTTTGTACATCCCGCGTGCCTGCTTAAGGGTTAACGTAGCCTCCAAACAACTTTAATTTGATGTATGGTTTAATGAACTGCCAGAATATATAAAAAATGTGAAATTACTATGTACTTTTACCTCATTAGTTAAGTTGTATTTATTAAACAAGAGAAATGTATCCACATAATTATGTTTGTTACCTGGTATGGATTCTTTTGTAATCTTTTTGGGTTAATAAATAAATAAAAAAAAAGATAGTATTTTTTTCAATTATAAGATCTATGAATTTGTATGGCTTAGTTTTAAAGGCCTGTTACACCACTTACACTTTAAAAAGGATGTCGCCTTGCAGCATATTCATCTTGATCGAGAACTGCAGCATGCTGTTGTCCTGTCTGCGCCGCATGTCGTAGCCCTCGAGCAACGCCTTGCGGTGCGTCATGCCTGCGCCTGCGTACTCGGCCAGATTGAGATCGACGAAGCCGAGCTTCGTGAACGATCGGCCAGATTCCTTTCGGATCGAGATGCGCAGCACGCATCGCTCCATCACGCCTGTCGACGCATTCGCCATCATTTTGCAGGGAAACGTGAACTTGGCGCCCCATTTTACCTTGTGGTCGCGAACTTCCTCTCTGAAAAAAGATGGAGCTACAGTGTTACCATTTTTTTAATATTCGATTTTTTTAACATCTGAACCCTATTATAATTTTCCTATAACTTATACGTTTGATTACAAATATATATATGCTTTTGATGTAGTAAATTCCAGGATCATCACAGCTGATATATTAAATAAGTTATTTTAATTTGTTTTGGTATTTGTCCCACATAAAACAATTAAAAAAAATAAAACTTATTTGTTTCTTTACTGTTTTTCGCATCTTCTTGCTTCGTTTTGAGAAAAAATAATATCTCTTTACACTTTAGAAGCAAGTTAAAATACATACATGCTCTAAATGTAAAAATGTAAAATAAAAACATCTTTTTATTTCGAAAGCTTTAGGGTTTTCGAGATTGTTTTTTTATTTATCTTTTACTTGTACCCGGATCCTATTATACCTAAAATAGAAAACCAAACAATAATTTTTACTTTAAATTTCAAAATATGCATGATTTTTGGGTCAATCAATAACACAACATATACAATGTATACATCTATATGAATTTTATATTTTTGAAGAATTCACTAAAAATGCACTGGGTGATCCATAGTAAAATAACAATATTTTTTTTTATTTGATAATGACTTTTTAATTCGTCGGAACTATTACTTTTTGTTTAATAGGTATACAATGTCAATTTACTATTTGAAATCATACAATTTTTAATAAAACCTCACTGGTAACTTTGACACAACAACGAGAAGTTTCAGGAACTATAGTAAGCAATATTCTGCACATAAAATATTATTTCCAATAGTTTATTGAGTGCATTAATATCCTGCACATGAATGGTTACAGCTTAATTTTCTCCGCGTATAGATTTTTATTTATTCAGAAACTAAAATTTTCTGTCAATAAAAAACAAAAAAGGAGCAGGAATCAAAAAGAGAACACATCCTCTAAAAAAAGGTCTGACCGCCCTATTTACATATTTTATAGTTTTCCTACCCTTTGTTTCGTGATTTAAAACAATGAAACATTATTATATTTTGTAAAAAAATGTTAAATCTAAAATGTCTTAAAAGTTTTACAGTTCTTAACTTATTTCATATGTAAATTGATGATCTCCTATATTTTTATATTATTACTTTTATATAATATATAAAATATATATAATAGTTATACACATTTTCTGAGTATTTTATTTGATGTTTAAAATAAATAGACAGGAGAGGCATCAGTAAATGGCTTATGCAAATTTGGTACTATACTCCCCGTCAAAAACTTTAACGACAACTTGGTCTTATATTCTGAAAATACAGTATACCTACATATGTGTTTTGTGTGTTATAAATTAAGACCTTTATACACCAAAAATACATATGTACCTATTTAGTATTATTTTCAGAAAATAGGAAGAAATTAGCGTTAAATTGACAGATACAAAACCTCAATTATTTGACTGCATTCCTGATATAAATGTCAAAAAGGGACTCTATGATGTTTGATTCTGGAAATTCACGGAACTTTTTTCTGTTACTATGGTACTTTAAGTCTTATGCGCATGTCTGAGAATTCACATAACGAATTACAGAACGGGTCGACGTTCCCAATTTTAAGCAGCGTTCTGCTATTCATTGTGTCAATTCTTGGACATGCGCATAAGACTACACAGCACCATAATCGTCCTCCCGTATTCAACTATCACTATGGTAAATTAGAAAGGTCTGTGACAGATACCTAACCTCAATTCTACGTCATGTGTCAGGAATGTGGATTTAATTTGTTATGTGATTATAAAAATATAAATATATTTAAGTCATTCGGAAGTCCTCTCTCGTACTGCAACGTAACCGTCATAAATGTGTTTATTCTACTTCTTCTTTTAAAACGCCCATTATCGTACATGTTTTCATGACACTAAGTGACCTTTTAAATACACATTGACAAGTTTTGGCTTTATGGCGTTTTAGTCACGGGCTGAAGTTGGCAACAGGTTTTTAGTCAGGGGCTGAAGTTAGTTTTAAGTTAGTTGACAGTTGTCAAATGTCATACAATCCTTAAAACAATACTAAATGTGAAAATTATTTTATTATCTCAATACAAAAATACAGAAGTATTAAATAGTTTTTCAACGCCAATATTTGAAAAGTTTATATGAACATTGTACTGACCTTTTAATTTCGCCGGTAGTAAACTATAACTTAAATTCGGGCACGGACTCCACTATAAAGTGCTCATAAAACATTTCCTTTACTTTTACTGTGAAAAACTGTCCATTTTCAAGGAATACATTTCGATTTATAACCTTTATAATCTGTGTTTATAAAATATAAAAATTTGACATTTGACGGTGAAACAAATTCCCCTATTGCTTCATAGATGGCGCTCTGTACAAATATTTGATTTAAGTCATTTTAAGATAATAATTAGTATTTGTCGTAGAAAAAGTATAGTATGCACCTCGTTTATATACTTTTCTATACACTCATTAATTTAAGCACTCGCTCGCAAGCTTGCTCGTGCCTAAATTAAATTCGTGTATAAAATGGCGTTTATCAAACTTGATACATAATATACTATTATTTTACTTCTTTCTTTAAAACGCCCACACTGAAAGAAATATATGTTTGTTTTAGCAATGTATGTGGTAGTCCATATATGAAACATAAAATATATTTACCTTAACCATTTTTATATTTAGTTTTAACATAATATATATGTTTTAAGGCAAATATATTTTATGTTTCATATATATGGACTACCACATACATTGCTAAAACAAACATATATTTCTTTCAGTGCATTATCGTACACGTTTTCATGACACTAAGTGATTTTGCTGTCACTGTATGGCACAGCACCGGCTAAGTTAGCTTTAAGTTAGTTGAACTTTTAATTTCGGTTTAATCCGAGTGAATAATGCGCAATATTTTGAGTGTAATACTATGCTGTTTCTCCTCCAGTTAAGTAATTTTCATCAATAACAAATTGAATTATAACCTCACTTTCTTCCGATTTTAAAGATCATTATAGTCGCCCCTTGTATATATAAAAAAATTGACATCACGTTGTTAGGCATCAGTGATTTTATTATTCACTGTTATTTTAATCAATTGGATTTTAAATTGGGAAAAAGTAAATCGAAAAATATTTATACCAAATAGATATTCGTTTGTTTAATTAAAAAAACATACTCTAATACCCTTTTTAGCATGGATATTTTAAACAATATCTGGCCCGCTCTCGGTAAGTAGGCGACTAATGTATTGTTTATTGGCACCATTTAAAATGGCGATTATTGATAAAATTGTCGCAACTAAGAGCTCCATAAATAAAGTGCAATTTTGCATACTGCAGTTACGTGTACAACAAAAATTTATACCTTTTTACTGACAACGTCCAAGGTTAATTCGATATTTATGTAATAAACAAAAAATGGCGCAAATTCATATATGATTAAATAATTAATTATATGCCTACTGTAACAGTAGAATACATTTTGTAATAATTACAATTATTGAACTGTTCATATAAATTCAAATTAGTGGAAATTTGGATTTACATTTCTTAAAAAGGATCCAATTTGAAGGTTTAAATTGATTTTATGTAAAATATGGAAAAAAGAGCAACTGTAACATAATATTTATATTTGTCACACTAAAATTTTATCTTTAAATAAATACATACCGTTTACTAAGAAATCCTGTATAACATTAAAATAAAGATATGTATGGATTTCGAGGATCTTGGTTATAAAAATTAGACTAAAATATAAACAACGTTTTAAAGCACTAACAATTTTTTTTAATTCAAAACTAATTAAAACAGGATGTATAATAATCGTTAAAATCAGTTGAAACATTAAAAAGTGATATAGCAGTTTTAATAAAATATTCTTTCCTTTTAGGTAAGACTTGTCCTGAATGAAGAGCATCTGTGTAAAGCCTTAAATGTCCTTTTTTATATCTCTAAAGTTTGTATTTATTACTAAAAAATAAATATGAAAAATCGTGTATTTCATTGTTCTTTAAATGATAACAATTAAAAGGATGCGCCCATGAATTTGTAGTTTTGAGATAACAATTTAAATTAGACCAAATGGTTTGTTAATTTGATAAAAATTTGGTACAGAAGTATTTCCAATTGGGAAGAAAATAATTAGGCCACTCTTAATGATAAAAGCATCCTGTTATTAATTTGTGGAGGAAATTAAATTTTAAGTGATTGTTGACAGTTTTCAAAAATAATTCTTTAACTCGATAATTATGTGCTTGTAGGCAATACAAAATATAGAAATAAATAATTTACCTATATAATAAACAGAACACGCAAAATAATAAATTATTTTTTAAATGTCCTTGTTACTTTATCACTTTTTAATTTCAAATAAAAAACAATCGACCTATTACGAATTATAGTTATTATTATTATTTTTTCGTCCAAATAGGGCAACATTTAATAAAGCATTAATATCATCCCCTGAGAAAAACATCAAATGCTTTTGCTTAACCCAAAAGTCACAGTTTGGACCGCCATTTCACCATCCGGAATTATCGGTCCGTTCATTTGTCGATATGAAACGTAATTTTTTAACACCTGCTTTTCAAGAATTTGAAGGATTTGATCAAGAAACCTGGTTGTTCAGGCACTTTTTCCTGAAAAACTGATTTCCCGAATCCCGGACTTGACTCCATGTAACTTTTTATGGGTGTATCTTAAAAGTCGAGTTTATCGCAACCGCCCTGCCAATCTTGGGGACTTAAAGGATAATTCGGGGAGAAATGGAAGCCAAATTTTAGAGTCCGATTTCAAGAGTGCCAGGAGAAAAATGGACATCATTTGGACAATATAATCTAAAAAATAATCCTAATAAAAAAATTGTCAAAATAAACTGCGCACCACTCAATGTGTCGCGACCAAAAAGTTCGTCCTTTTTCAAAACGACATAACTTTTTGTTTCTTGAACGATTTTATTTTGGTCTGTGATGTCTGCATCATCCTCTGGCAATTCATGCTATAGATATGAA